TGCTCATCCAAGCAGCTTCATCAGTCAAAGCAGGCGAAACATCTCAACAAAGTTTAATCCAGTGGCATGGTTGGTTGAGGAATTCTGGGAGTTGATGTCCACAAGTCTTAAAAGTCGCCATGTTTGGAGACCCTGGTCTATGGCAGTATTCCTCAACTCCAACAAGGTATGTTGTTGGAATGTATCAACTCCTGCCAAATCAACCTCGGGTTTCATCCCCAAAGTGGGTTGCAAAGTATCAGTGAATTCGGATACATTTCCTGCTCTCCCCAATCCCTGGTGACCTGCATCTTTTCAAGACCAGGCACAGTTCCAAATTGTGGGGTGGAAACAGTTGCAAGGAGAAGAGATCATCGTATAGGTAGCACAAGTTCTTCTCCAGGCTGTCCAGCAATGCTCTGCATTGGCATGAGGCACTTTGCAAGCATACCATGAAAGGAACCAAGATATACCAAAGGGGTTCAGAGGCAATCTAACTTCTCTTGCCCTCTTCCTTCACCTGGGACTCAGAAGCTACAGGTATTGCTGAGTTTCAGGTTTGCTCTCCTGAGCCAGTTCTGGAGTATTGGCTGTGTTTCCCTCCTGTTTCTAAAAATGGAACAAAGTCTGAAGGAAATTGCAATCCACTGATGGAAGAAATGTTGTCCTTGCCTTTGAAATCTCCCCACAGAGCTAAAAAACATGTTTTTATCATCTGTCTTTAGGCAATCCAAAAATAACGAAGCCAATCTATATTCCCAAAGTCCTTCTGAAGAACTAAGGAGAAATGACAGCTTTGTAAAAATAGTGGTTCATCTTCCCAATATTAACAAAATTTCTAATCTCATAGCTGCTGTGCTCAAAGGATTGATTCAAACTCTTTGTGATCTTTCTTGTATAAAGTGAGCTAATTGTTTCGAATTAGATTTTATGTTAGTTACTGCCCAACTATCAGCAGATGCGCATTTAGAACATAAAATAATAGGGTTAGAAGGGAAGTTGGGGGTTCCTTTTTTGAATTTCTTGTGTTTCTAAATAATTGATACCAGGAGAAACGTTTTTCACAACTTTCTAACTTCCAGTGTTTTGAGATGAAAAGTTCCAACACCCCTGGAAGGCAGTAGGTTGAGTGGAGAGGCCTTCCACGAGGCAAAAAGTGGTGGCCATAATCATGCAAATGATTGCATGATTATTTTTACACCTTTTATTTTTACAAATATTGGCATACATAAAAAAGAGCAGGACTTCAATGGCAAATCTATGACCACCATCCTGACTTTTCTGGCATCCCCTTGCAAATGCCTCTAAAGTCCAGCAAGGCTGCCTTAGCAGTTAAGGATTTATAAGGATTTTCGTTTCTATGGGCACCTAGCTGATCCTAACTAAGCATACTGTAGATGGGAGAGCGTGAGGAAAATCAGGACGATAGACTAGATTGGAATTTTAAGAAACCCAAACTATGCTGAAAGAAGTCAGGAGCAACTTTAGTTCCCCCCACCCCAAACCCTATAAAGTTGTGTGAACTGAAGTCACCAGGAGTCCCATATGATTTGAAGATATTCTGTCATCTCCCTTAGGGACTTAGAAATCCATAGTGCTGGGAAAGGTGGTATAAAAGAGCAGAAGTGGATGACCAGCCACATGGTAGGTCGATTGTTAGAAGATTTGAAGGGCCAGACAGGGTAGATGATTGCTAAAAGATAGCAATAGCCCTTAGACTTATATACCGCTTCACAGTGCTTTACAGCCTCTTTAAATGGTTTACAGAGTCCGCCTATTGCCCCCAACAATCTGGGTCCTCGTTTTACCCATCTCGGAAGGCGGGAAGGCTGAGTCAACCTTGAGCCATTCAGAATGGAATTCCTGGGATGAGCAGTGAGTACTGGATTCTAACCCCTGTGCCACCAAGGTTTGATGATGATACTGACTTGATGGCACACACAACCCTCCTATCAACCCAGTGGACTTTGGTCCTAATAATTTGGACAGGGAATGAGCACAAAACAGCACTTGTGTTTGTGTGGGTGGAGAATTGAAGTAAACATCTCTCTACTGATACAATATTTCTAGTTTGGGGTTGAATTGTGGGTCCTTGGTGTTCTGTGAGCTTGGTGGTTTTACTAGCACTGATGATGTTATCTAGTTTGGTAATAAAATGTCTGCAAGAAAACTACCAACCTCAGAGAACAACCAAGGACCCCACAAATATCTCTACGATGGAAACCTAAAACCGTTTCATTGGCTGACAACTTAGGCCAAGTTCCTACATGGAGAAGGTTGGGTGGATGAGCTTTCAGAAGCATAATTCATTCCCTGTAATCCAGAGAGGGTTCAACAGGTGGCAGCAGCTGCTGACCTTGTCCAGTAGGGCAAGAAATCTAATCAGGGCTGGTTGAGATTATAGTTAAACTTCAGAGCAGTAGACCATAGTGGAAAACATTCTGGGAAAAGACCAGACCATCTAGTGTACTTCAGTCTTATGGCCAAGAAAACTGCAGCAGTTCGACTTGAAAGGAACTCTTATTGAATTAACGATCTGACTGGTTATTGACCAAATCAAAGCTAATGATTTATTCAAAGCAATAACAGCCCCCTGTAGAGATTTGTCTCTGGGGGCAAATTTCAATTTTTATTCTTCTCTAAACTATTCTGATGAGTATGGAATCTGCTGTGTGGGGGGCCTGGGCGTTAAGTTGTCGCCACAATGAAAAGAATGACTATGAAATGGACTTTGTGAAAGCCCCAAGCAAAAACTCAAGGAAAGTCATTCTGGACCATCTAGGTTGCAAGGCTTACTTGAATGACAAAGGGAGCTGGAAGGATTTTCAGCAATACAGTCTGAAATACAATACAATGAGCCCTACAATCTGAAACACAATACAACAATACAACACAGCCAGGAAGGGCAAAAGGAATTACAGTTCTTGCGGGTTCCCAGGAAGAAAACGCAGTTAGTAAATTTGAAAAGTGATCTTTGGAAGGAGTTTTGGGGGATGTTCTTTTTTTTTCATGCTGCCAAAAAAGTTGGACGTTGTTTTTTAAAAATATCAAAATGAAAGTTTTACAAAAGTATACTAAATACTCAAATGATCTCATCTATTCAAAGCAATCCCCATGTTTTTTATGCTTGCTCTACAAGACATTTGGTGGAATATATATATAATTGTACATGGTGCACACCACCCTGTTTGGGCTACTGATTAAGGCAGAGGTCCCCAAACTTGGCAACTTTAAGGCTTGTGGACTTCAACTCCCAGAATTCTGGGAGTTGAAATCCACAAGTCTTAATTGGGGACCTCTGGATTAAGGTATCAGACTAGAAACAAAACCTTGAGTTCAAGTCCATGAAAGCCAGCTGGATGAGACTCAACCCAACCCCCACCTGACAGGGTGATTGGGGAAGAAAGGAGGAGGAAGGTGTGTTGGATGTGTTGACCTGTCTTGCATTATTGTATAATACAGGTGGGAAATAAATGTAATTAAATAAAAGAATAAATAACAGCCCATGGGATTAGATATTTCAGTGCATCATGCATTAATCCAGAATACTGGATAGAGCAATCGATGGATGTTAACCATAGATGCTGATGGGAAATTTAAGAGTCGCAATCCACTTCTTGAAAAAAATGCTGAGATTGAGAAAAAAAACTGGTTTAGAAACAAAGCTGTTTCTTTCCTAAGCCGAAAGAAAAGTGGACAGCATCTGCAGGTGGGGGAGGGTGGGAGGGAATGTGAAACTTGCAAACAAACATGATATCAACCCTGAAGCTGACTTGACTGAGGCCATTTTGAGGCTTCCGTGTTGCCACACTGGAGCTGAGCTGAGGGAAAGGGAGGGGGGAATAGAGATAACTGGGACTTCGTAGCCAAAACAAAATAGTTTCTCCTGGGAACTAAGGATGTTCCCACAGGTGGTCGGAGAGAGGAGTGAAGTTACCAGGCAACCAGACGGCAACTTGATTGAACCATGTGACTGTTTGAGGAAGGGAGAAAACTTTTAATTAGGTAAAAACCATGGGAACATTCAGTCAATTTTCACCAGCCTGTGCCAATATGATATATCCAATAAAACTTTTCTGTAAGGAATCTGCCTGCCTCAGAGTTCTGTTCATTATGGGTGTATTACTTGGAACCCTGACACATGAATTGATAAAATCTGGTATCTGTCTAAACTGTGTGACAACCTTCCATAAGGAACCTGGGAGCACCTTTTCAGACTGTTATCAAGGCCACAGTTAAGGCCACCACCTCTTCATAACTCTAAGTCTGAAAATAGCCTCCGAAACGCCTTCTGATTTGGGGGCTTTCAGAAAATTATACAACTTTCTCTTACAAAGCCTTCATCAAGACCAATCTTCATGGTTATTATATGACACCATCATAAGTTATCCAAACTTCATCTATTGTATTTTATAATTTAATACAGTTACTATACTATAGAACAGGGGTCTTCAAACTTGACAGCTTTAAGGCTTGTGGACCTTCAACTCCCAGAATTCCTCCTCCAGTCATGTTAGCTCAGGAATTCTGGGAGTCGAAATCCACAAGTCTTAAACTTGCCAAGTTTGAAGACCCTTTGATGTAGAACTATGTCATTGTTGGTTTTTTTTTTTAAAAAATTGTCCTGTTTATATTTAGCGATATCCAGCCCATTTTTCTACTTTCCCAATGTAGAAAGCATGTAATATCAATGTCATGTTTAATTTGGAAATGAAATGGATTGCATTAGTGCAGGCTGCATTTTATTAGTGTACGTGCCTTCTGATGCTTCAATGTGCTAATTGCCAATAATAAAGAAGTTAATGAAAGGAGCAGCTTGATAATCAGGGACAGTTGTAAGGAACTGTGGTGGTGGGATTTATGCTTAGAATGTTGAAGATTAAAATAATGAGAAAAAGAACCAAGTCTACAGTAATTTGCAGCTGGAGGAAAGAACAAAGGGGGGCTTAGCAGCTGGACAACAATGGGGATAGAATAGCCTTTTCCAATCTGGAACCAATCAGATGTATTGGATCTTTACATGTGGACTATGCAGCTCCCTGGAAGTAATTTTGAAATGCTGCTTTGAAGCCCCAGCAGCAGCAGTGCAAATCAACCTTCTGTCTGCAGCTCTTTAAAGTGACTGCATCCATCCATTTCTGAGATTGTTCCCTGCAACTACGGCTTTTGGGAAGCAAATTGAGAGCATTAAACCAGATTGAGGAAGGTTGGGTGTGTTCTAGGTGGTCCTGAGGAACAAGGGAAAGAAATTGCCAGTATCTCATTAGCTAATTGCTCACCCTATGTAGCCTACATGAATACCTGCACAAGGTTCTATAAAATAGTTCTCTATCAATTTTATCTTCTAATAATAAGGAACTTATCCTCTTGATAAGAATTTGTTTAGCAGGCTACATAAGGCAATATGTTAGGAGCCACATTTAGGAAATAAATATGAAAAATGGAAATAACCTTGAAGTAAGATGCAGTTTATTGACTAGGAGACAATGAGCTGCAGATGTATTATCCGCTATCCAGAGTCGCAGGACTGCAAGATAGGTGAATCAATTAAATAAAAAAATACAATAATACTTAAGATTAAGTAAGTCTAAGTTAGTGTTTCTCAAACTCAACAGCTTTTAGACACCTGGACTTCAATTAAGAGAAAGATTTACAGTAGGTATAGTAATAAAACATTTGAAACTGAGCAGAAGACAGAATTTGGTCTTGAATTATGTACAAATGATGAACATGTAACTGCTAAACTGAATCAACTGTATGATAAAACGATACCATGTTTGGACAAAATGATACCTTATTGCTGGAACAGTGCAGAAATATATGGTTAAAAGTATTGAAATTCATATTAAAATTTAGATTATGAAATGTATTGGTTTATTACTCCAGAAAAATTGTCTAGAATGTATACAAGTATTTCAAATTTACACTGGAAATGTGGACAACATGAAGAATCGTTTTATTATTCCTGATGGACTGGTAGACTTGTTTAAAAGCCTGAAATGTTGGGTTCAAATAGAATTATGCAAATAATTTTAAAAAATTAATATTTAACTGAAACCAGAATCATTGTTGCTGGGATTATTGGGCAAATAGAAAAGAGCAATAGGAGACTATTCTTATACCTCTGATCGCTACTGCGAATATGCATTATGTTGAAAAACTAAATAAAACTTACTTTTAAAATAGATATGAGGACTTCAACTCCCAGAATTCCCTAGCCAGGACAAGAGGTTGGATGTGATGACTTCTTACTTACCTTCCAACTCTGATTCTATGACATCTACCTGATCACATGTTCAGTGTATCTCAAAAACCTGCAGCCTGCGTTTTGCACCATATTTCCTTTACTGTAAATCAAAGGATTCCTTAATCCAAACCATGAGACAGTCCGATGGAACACACTTATAAAAATAAAAGTCACCCTTTAATCAAACTTTGATCAGGTTCACATATTGCAATAACTGGCCTAGCTCAAGCAGGCTCTCATTTATAAAGCAAATTCCAAAACCTGTGTATGAATATATATGGAGAAAAGCCAAACTATCCTGCTGCTAAAAGCTTAACACTTAAAACTAGTTTGTTGAATTAATCATAATAAACCTTTTGCACATCACCTTAAGCCTATATTCTTTAAACCCTGTCATTGTGGTTGGCAAACTACTGTTTATGGCTTAACGTAAAGCACAGCCTATTCTGTCTTCAAACTACCACCTTTTGTTTGGTATATGAAGGGATCCAACCTAGAATTTTGAGAATACAAATTCAGTGATATGTTCGAATCATCAACTTCCATCACTGGAATGTATCTGTGTTTGCCATGATTTAGTCCAGAAACAGCTGCCTTTAATCATTGTGTTTTACCCTGAATGTTGGTGGCAAAAAAGAAAAAAGAATCTGTCTTCACCTCATTCTAAAATCATCTAACAATTGATCCATGTTCTCCTCAGAACTTGTAGGAGCTCCATCAATGAAGGCTTTTAAGAAGAGATTGGACAGCCATGCGTCCAGAATGATATATAGGGTCTCCTGCTTAAGCAAGAGGTTGGACTAGATGACCTCCAAGGTCCCTTCCAACTCTGTTATTCTATACTCTGAACTCTGCCAAATGGCTGAAAAGTGAAAAATCATGACAGCCGCAAGAAATAAATCTTTTGATTTGCATCTGTGGAAGGTCTTCTTCACAGCTCTGTAAGAATGGAAGTCAACAAATGCTCTAGAATAATAATTTTTAGCTACTGAGTTATCACCTCCTAACACCCAGGCTGTGAACTTGTCACTGCAAAAGGAAAATGTCAGAACCCATGAGATAAAACTCCTATGTGAAACTCAGGCACCTCAAACTACGAAAAGGGTGGCATATAAATTTGATAAATAAAGAAATTTGGGCTGAAACACTTGGCTGTTTACAATATGCACTTATTATATAAAAAGAATTTCATCACAAATTACATTCTATCAGAAAGAATCCACTCTTTATTGGATGAAAGAAAAACACAGGATGATCAGACACAAAACAATGTGTATTTTAAGAAAATTAATATTAAAAGACATATACATACATGCACTGTATAAGCAAGATATAAAAGTCAGATGTTGATAGATTCAAAGCTTTAAGCCCAAGGTGACTAGAACCCACTTTGAATTAAACAACCAAAGATAAACAGCCATTTGTGTTGCGAGTGCTACTTTACATAAGAAAATAGGAATTCAGACAAGGGATGGAGAATGAGGTAAGATCAACATAGCAAAAATGAGCAAAAAATTAGAAGGTACAATACCTCAAACAATATCTTCTACAGACAGTATTATCTACAAGGAGACTCATTGATAATTGGATCTACTGAATTTTCAGGAGAACATTTGAGTCAATTTGGCCCCGGTTTGGGTCTTGAATTCAAAGACAACAATTCCAACTCACAACCATCCTCCCCAAACAAAAATTAAACTTGCAAGACAGACTCAAAATGTTATGGCCAAAATAGGACCTCAGGAGGCCTCATTCCAATATCTTTGTTCAAATTATGCATGTCTTTGGCCTCTCTCTCAAAATGCAACATTCTGTGTGACTGGTCCTAGATAGAGAACCTGCAGAAAAACTAACAAAATAATCAGTGGCACATATCACTTTACAGGAAAACCACAAACCTAGACTGATGTCCATGCATTTGTTAGAGGTAATTTAAAAATGCACAGAATAGAAATTAGGTCACTTTCCTCTCCTCCATCACCTCAAGTTCCAAGCGCAATATTTTAATCATCTTTCTGATTGAAAAAAATCTCTATTTTCACCAAACTGGGGCATCTTTCTAGCAACTTCACATCTTTCTAGCAACTTCTTCCATTGGAGAAATGGAAGAAGGGGTTATACAAGGGATCTTCGGACCCAACTTAAAAAGGATACTGTTGGGACAAAACCAAAGGGGTGAGACACTCTAGAATAAATGTGCTGGCTAGGGGGCCTCCTCTAATGCTCCATGGGGAAAGAAAGCCAAGAGAGACTGCTAAAATATGTTCCCAATTTTGAGTGTAAAGAGATAAGGTGCTGGAATGTCAGAAGAGTAATGTGGCCTCTCATTTTCTCACAATAGGATTCAGCTTCTGAATCACATCAGAACTTCTTCCGCTTTAGAAGGTCCGTGTGCACAGATGCTTGCTCGCAACCAGGGCAGGCATAAGCCTTCTCCTTGCCACTAAATTTTAAGTGGGTCATATGTTTAGGATTCAGCCAGAAGCTTTTCCCGCAATGCATGCAAGGGTGGAGCCTTTTCTCGCTGTGGGTGGCCTTGTGCCTGTTGAGATTACACAACGCGTTGCAGCGAAAGTCACATTCGGAGCACTTGAAAGGCTTCTCTCCAGAGTGGATTCGTAGGTGGACCTTAAGGGCTGTCACAGAAAAGAAACTTTTCTTACACTGGGTGCAGGGGAACGGTCTGTTCTCAGTGTGGTTCTTCTCATGAATCAAGAGATTGGTCCGACTACGGAAGGATTTCTTGCACCGAGAGCAGACATGTTTCATCTGCTGATCACATATGGTTTTCCCCTTAGAAGGTGAACTCTGAAGCTTCCTCAACATCGCTGTTTGCAGTTCAACACTGCGTCTACCCTTTGCTCTCTTCCGTGTCCTTAGTGGATTTTGGATCTCTCCCAGCTGCTGAGCCAAAGGTGCTCTCCCCAAATTCTGGGCAGTAGCATTTGAGCGCCCATTTAGAGGGCAGAATCGGTCATGATCCTGCTGGGTCTTGCTTTTGGACAACCATGGCATAGGCCGGGTCTCTGCCGGATCCCCGACGTCGGATGGCTTGCATTTTTCTTTTTCACAACTCTGAGAGCCAGAATTGGCCTCAAGGGATTCCCACTCCTGTGCCACAGAGACGGCTGTGTTCCTTTGCACAACACTTTCGGTAACTTTCATTTGGGCTTCTCTGGAGAATGTTTTCTGGCAGGGCAGTTCGAGGCAAAGATCCTTGTGGTTCTTGGATGCACCTTGAAACAAACTGGAGGAAACACTTATAGAGGGGTCGCTTTCAGGACCATCGTGGTACTTTGCTTTCCTGGGGGAGCTGGGTGCATTTGGGCGGACCATTTCTCGTTCTTCTCGCTGACAAAAGCAACGTTTGGACCTTCCCCCCACAAGCTGCGTTTCTCTCTTAGCTTTTCTTATGGAGGAAGCCTGTGACCTCAATTGCCAGCCATCGTGGTTTTTTCCCTTCTTATGACTTTGGGAATGGGTATTTTTGGAGCAGGTCCCAGGCTGATGGATAAAGAATATGTCCTTTCTTTTTGGTTTCCTTTCCAATTTCACTGCCTGGCTGACTTCCCCATAGCCCAGCAAACTATTTTCTTTGAATTTTCTAGATAATTGCATTGGCATCGTAATATACTTTTCAGGAGCTCCTGTGTTTGATCTTTCTTCTAAGGGCACCGGCAGATCTCTTTCTTCTTCCTGGGCATGTGGCAAGCTGATAACCTTATCTGTGTGAAGTGGTAGCTGCAATAATGCTTGTCCAATAGGATTTCCCTGATGTTCCTCCATAGAAGCTGTGCTACTTGGGAAATTAGAAAACGCCCGTGTAGCCTGCATGATTGCGGATAGTTTGCGGCATTCTTCATTCAGGTGAATTCTCTTGTGTCTTTTCAGATGCCACGGCTGAAAGAAACCTTTCCCGCACAGAGAGCATTTGAAGAGCTTTCGGTCCAGGTGTCTGTTTTCATGGATGACCTCCCTCACGACGGGCTGTTCAGGGAATTTTCCTTTCAGGTGGGTCTTCTCGTGTCTCTTCAGGTGCCACATCTGGATGAAGGCTTTCCCACAGGCAGCACATCTGAAAGGCTTTTGCCCAGAGTGGATCCATTGATGCCTGGTGTAGGAATAGTTATCATCAAAGGTTTTCCCACATTTTTGACAGAGGCAGGGCTGTTTCCTTCTGTGGGGAACCCTGAGGGAGGAGGTGGGGGGATCTTTTGCGGCCATTTTGTCTTTGGAGTCTGAGCACAGAGAGAGTTTTTCCCCCGTGTGGGTTTCTTGGTGGGGAACCAGAGATTCTTCTTGGGAGGTGTTTCCCTCATGTTCCAAGTGGGGATATGGCTGTTGCTTTCTCCTATGGATTTTTCCATGATTGACAAAGGCGCTTTTGGTTCTCATGCATTTTCCACAATGCTGACAAACATAATTCTCTTGAATGGGGATTTTGGGGTGCTTGGCAAGTTCTGAGCGATGGTTGACATCACTTGCAGGGAGAAGACCTTCAGAAGCCTTCTGTCCATAGTGGTGGCTTTTGATGATCCTCAAACTTTTGACATCTTCATTGGAGAGTTCTCTGAGGTGAATCTCTAGATGTCGGAAAAGGTGGGGTTTTCGAATGAAACTTTCTGTACATTTGTGGCATTTATAGGGTCTCTCACCTGTGTGGAGTTTCTCATGGTCAGCAAGTATGATACGTGTACTTAAACATTTCCCACAATATTGACACTGATGGGGTGTTTTCTGTGCCCATTTTCTTGGGCACCAAATGCGGTAAGAGCTACGAGTGAAGATTTTTCTGGAAACTGAGCGTTTAGAGGGATTTCCTCTTTCGTGAGAGATTTCCGAATCAACCAAGGCACTTTTCACAGCCAAGCTTTTACCTTTTTTTGGATGCTTCCTGGATGCCTGTTTCATATGGGTCATCATGTGTGACATCAAAATAGCCTTATGAAGAAAGCTTTTACTACACTGGGAACATTTATATGGCCTTGATTCCCTGTGCATTCTCTCATGGTCCACAAGCAAACTTTTGAACCTTAGACATTTCCCACAAAACTTACATTTATGGAGATTGACTTGGTCTTGCTGTTGTCTAGTGAGGCCAATCTTCAGTGATTTTGTACTCCCAGAGACAGGGGCTGTACTGACTTTCTTTTTTTCAGTTTCAGGCATACTTTCTATCTTTTCTTCCTTCTTATCCTTCTTTCTGTTATTTTTGGGTGCTGTGTGGCAATTTTGATGTTTGTCCAGACATTCCTTCTGAACAAAGATTTCCCCACATTCATGACACTTATAGGACTGCTGGCTTGTGTGGCTCTTTTGATGTAGGAGGAATTGTTCTTTGAGCTCAAAAGACTTCTTGCAGGTGAAACATTCATAAAGCTTCATGTTTTGAGGCTTCACAACACTATAGGAAGGTCTGTTGCCTGCTTTTGCTCTGTGGCCCTTCTGGTGGCGGTCAAAGACTTTTTTGGATGAAAACCTTTCTTCGCAGTCAGGGCAGTTATAGGCTTTTGTCGTACTGTGTATCCTCTGGTGATTGGCAAGAGATATTTTGGATTTGAAGATCTGTCCGCAATCAGGGCACGGGACCGGATGGTCCCTTCCTGCAGCTCTTTCTTTGGCCTGGGAGCTTTCATTGGCATTGCCCGTTTCTGCCTTTGTCTTTCCTAGCTGACTCTGTGAAGGCTTCTTCAACTGGGACCCATGTTTATAGGCCTCTCTAGGCTTCAGACTCTGTGATCCACTCCCTTTGGAAGTATTAAATAAGTTTCGGCGAAGGATCATCGGTCGAAAACCTCCACGATGAGGCTTTTCTTCTTCACTTTCTTGATCATTATCTACAGCCCAAAAAACAACAACAAAGGGGGGGAGAGAAAGTGACAGTGCAGGGGGATTATATGGTTAGTGCACAAGTTGCACTAGTGCCACTTGGCATTTAGATACAATTCAGGGTGTTGATGGTTATCTTTCAATTAAGACCTATTGTTTTGGGGGGAGGATACATCCCTCCAATTGTCTTTTACCATCCATTAATGGGTTGGTACCATTATGTCTTTTACCATCCCATAATGGGTTGGTAC